ATTTCTAAGTAATGGAGCTACAGTTTAAAGGTCAGTATTATTTATAAAGTTCACTAAACCATGAACAAAAAATGTTAATTTTAAAGCAGTTTTTATAAATAAAATAAAGATTTTTAGTGAAATGTCTTGTTTGTTTAACACTCAAGCAAGTAGACTTAAAAATAAATAAAGTGAAATAAAATAAAATAAAATAAAACAAAATGAATTGAATTGAAATAAACTAAATTATTCAGCTTGTTATGTACAGTTGAAGATACACAGATGGATGCTTGAAGATAAATGTTTTAATACGAAAACAAAATCCATGTTTACCATTCACGCTTGTGTGGCTGATATACACACAAACACATTAATAATTCATTGATAATGAAGATGAAATCAATGAAAAAACAAACAAATGACGAAATGTATATTGAAAAACTGAAAACTTAAATTAAGCTTTTTTTGGGGGGGATTTTAAATAAATATTCTGTTTGAAAATATTATTAATGGAAAAATAATGTCTATAACTGGGAGCTACTATAATACAAACATTAATTCAAAATAAAAATAAATAAGAAAGAAAAGTAGGTCTGATGCGATTATTAGATACTCTACAGCGATACAAACTTACTTCTGGAAAGCAATAGAAAATTATTTTCTATATGAAAATTTACTTCGATTCGAAGCCATTTTTATACCCACCATCAAAAAGATGGGGATATTTATACATATTTTGTCATTCCGTTTGAAACATATCGAAATATTGGTCATAGACCCACAAAACTATATATATTCTGGGACCTTATTAAATTCTAAGACGATCTTTGGTATAGGTAAGGTAAGGTTTGTTTGGTATTGAAAATAGGCAATATCGGTCCACGTTTTCGGATAGCCTCCATACATGTGGACCCCCGAAAAAATTTGAATTTGACATAAATGAGTTTCATATGATCAAAAATCTCCCTACTAAATTTTATGTGGATCGGTCCATAGTTGACCCTACCCCCATATAAGGTCCCCTTAAACAAATGAGTTTAACGCTCATTACTGGCTTAAAAATACTAGTATAACAATGATATTTGACATAAGTAAGTCTCTTATGATCCAAAATCTCTCTACCAAATTTTATGTTGATCGGTCCATAATTAACCCATAACCCATATAAGGTCCCTTTCATAATATGACTTTAACGCTCATTACTGGCTTAAAAATACGAGTATTGTGATGAAATTCGACACACATAAGTTTCAATAATGCCAAAATTTCTCTATCAAACTTTATGTGGATCGGTCCATAATTGACCCTATTCCCCATATAAGGTGCCCTTCAAAAAATTACATAAACGATCATTACTGGCTTAAAAATACCAGAAAAGCGATGAAATTCGACACACATATGTTTTATACGAATTAAAACCTCTCTACCAAATGTATTGAGAGTCGGTCCATGAGAATTACTTTAACGAACTTTGCTGACTTAAAGATACGTGAACAGTTATGAAATTTTATATAAGAAACATTAACCCTATCTCTCACATAAGGTCCTCTTCAGTTAATTTGATAAGTAATATCACCCTGATGTTTATTTGGGAGCATTCCTTTTAAGGCATACAGTTTGATGGTGGGTATATGAGATTCGGCACAGCTGAATATAAGACTCTTACTTGTTTTATATTAAAATTTGATTTGATTCGAAGTCATTTTCTATATGAAAATTGAGTTCGATTCGAGGTAATTTGACATATGAAAATTGAGTTCGATTCGAGGTAATTTGACATATGAAAACTTAATTTGATTCGAAGCCGTTTTCTATATAAAAATTTACTTCGATTTGAAGTTATTTTCTATATGAAAATTCACTTCGATTCGAAATCATTTTCTATATGAAAATTCACTTCTATTCGAAGTCATTTTCTACAGAAAATTTAACTTCGATTCAAACCAGTTTTCTGTATCAAAATTGAATTTGATTTGAATTCAATATCATTAGGAAAATTGACTTCGTTTTCACTAATTCTATGTTTAATACTGTTGCCAATCAATTGCACGGAAATGCTGTCAACAATTGCCTTCATAATTTCTATTTCGAAATAACACATTCGATTTATATGTAAAGCCTTTCTCTATAGATATCCACCATCAAATATGGACATCTTGTCAGTGAGAATCATTTGTATCAATCACATTTAATGTCAACTTTTGACTTTCGATTATTTATTTAGCATTTTTTTATTTTTTTATAATTTTCTAGCATTTATAAAGCTTTTTATTGTAAGATGTTGTGTTAAGGTCAGAGAATACTTAGAATCTGCTTACAATAAAAAATGCTTCAAAAATAATTTTATATTATTTCTTATTTTACCTTTATTATGCTAAATATTACTTTATGTCTGAAGTACCTTTCAATAAAGCTAATAATATCTAAAGCTGTTCATAAGCTTTTCATCTGACATCATTAAAATGTCTTGTATTTTAAAACATACATATGTATGTACATGTTTTTTTTTGTGTTTTTGAAATATACATAATTCTATAATAAATGTATCTTATTTAATTCAAACATATTGGTTTCGGAAAACATTTTTTGTTATTTCTTCACATTTGTTTTGCTTCATTTAACAAGATAAAAAAATATTGTAATCTTTATAATAATTTTATCTTCAATTGTTTCTATATAGTTTTTTGTTTTTTGTATTATTGTCTTCTTTTCCTTAAATAATCCCATATAATGGCAGTAGAAAATCTTGTTTAAACTGTTTAGGTTGTATCAACAAATGTTTAAGAAGAACAGATTTTGCAAATATAAAATAAAATTATTCAACTTTGAACAGCATGCTGTCTAAATGGCATACAGACAAAAAAAAGAAAATCAAAAAATCTGAAATTTTAATATCAGGGCAGGCCTAGTTAGAATAAATGGAGCGAAATTTGATTGACATGTTGTTATAAAATGTAAAATTTAATAATATTTAATACAGTATTTAGTACTCCACCTAGTATATTTAAGGTACACCTGTACGTATGATTATTTCTTAATAAAGTATTATAACACATACGCCACAGAATCAACCACTATAATGATTTTTCTCTCTAGCAACCATTTCGTTTAAATGAAAGTTAATTACAAATAAAAGTAGCACAAATTCTCTTATAGCGCACCCAAGTTAGTTCCCCTCTTCTTAAACAGTATAAAAAAAGAAATACATATATATTAAATATCTTTCAATATTAACAAATAAAAAACTTTAAAATTTCGCACATTATTAAAACAAACCAATTGTGTTTTCTCAACAAAAGAGAATAATAAGAACACAGTGAAATCAAAAACACAAACGAGTCAACATAAACATTTATGTTTCGCAATTTGCTTTTTGTTTCTTTTACAAACAATCACATAAAATAATATGCACCATTTAGTCTAAATACCCGGCAATATAAATTCAAGAAAACAAAACAAATTTTTACACATAAAAAGACTAAATTAAATTTTCTTTTTTTTTGTTAAATAATAAAAACCACACTCCAACTCATAGATACATTTGTAACAGCGCTATCAAAAACAAGTAAAAGTGTTATAATCGGCTATTACGAATCTTACACCCCCTAAGACTACACAATTGTATGTTAAAATCTCGATTTTTTAACGATATATGTTCTAGTTCTATTCTAGTTCTGTTCTAGTTCTGTTCTAGTTCTGTTCTAGTTCTGTTCTAGTTCTGTTCTAGTTCTGTTCTAGTTCTGTTCTAGTTCTGTTCTAGTTCTGTTCTAGTTCTGTTCTAGTTCTGTTCTAGTTCTGTTCTAGTTCTGTTCTAGTTCTGTTCTAGTTCTGTTCTAGTTCTGTTCTAGTTCTGTTCTAGTTCTGTTCTAGTTCTGTTCTAGTTCTGTTCTAGTTCTGTTCTAGTTCTGTTCTAGTTCTGTTCTAGTTCTGTTCTAGTTCTGTTCTAGTTCTGTTCTAGTTCTGTTCTAGTTCTGTTCCAGTTCTGTTCTAGTTCTGTTCTAGTTCAGTTCTAGTTCTGTTCTAGTTCTGTTCTAGTTCTGTTCTAGTTCTGTTCTAGTTCTGTTCTAGTTCTGCTCTAGTTCTATTCTAGTTCTGTTCTAGTACTGTTCTAGTTCTGTTCTAGTTCTGTTCTAGCTCTGTTCTAGTTCTGTTCTAGTTCTGTTCTAGTTCTGTTCTAGTTCTGTTCTAGTTCTGTTCTAGTTCTGTTCTAGTTCTTTTCTAGTTCTGTTCTAGTTCTGTTCTAGTTCTGTTCTAGTTCTGTTCTAGTTATGTTCTAGTTCTGTTCAAGTTCTGTTCTAGTTCTGTTCTAGTTCTCTTCTAGTTCTGTTCTAGTTCTCTTCTAGTTCTCTTCTAGTTCTCTTCTAGTTCTCTTCTAGTTCTGTTTTAGTTCTGTTCTAGTTCTCTTCTAGTTTTGTCCAAGTTAGCACTCCCCCTCACTTTCGTATTTTCAACAGACTGACAGGAAAACAGTAGATACAATTAATGTTAACATATGTTACAAGCAGATTGACAAAATCAATATACTGTCATCTTATTTGGTTGATGTTGGAATTTTAACAATATAAACATTTATAGTTAAAATTGACACACACATATAAAAAAGTTGAGTGTGTTTAATAGTTTTGTTGTATGTATTTTGACATAATACTGAAAGAAACATTTTTGGAAAATTGAAGTTTAACAAAATAGAAAAATTTAAGAACTTTTGCACCTGTAGTGTATAAAAGTATGTGAAATTTGTATGTCAATACGATTTACTGCTATTTAAGGGAATGAGCTTAGAAAAATTAGGGCATGCATTTTTAGTTTTTTAAACATAAAAATATCACAAATTTCTAGGGTGCCACATTTAACTAAGTAGGTTCGATCAATATATAAATAACAAACTTGTTGGTATTAATACATATTTTTTTTACTACAAGGTATGTAAAGATTTAATTTTATTTTACATATAATTTACGACTTAATTCTTGAATGAGCCTTACAAAAATTAAAATAATTTAACTTATTTCAATCCTAAATTATTCCTTTTCATCTTAAACGCCATGTGC